CTTCCAGTTTATCTCCAGTCCATATTCAGATGCTACTTCAAGCACCATTTGCAAGCGTTGTACTGCCTGGCTTTCATCGCTAGCTGGAATCAAAATATCGTCGATAAAGATCAGAATAATCATCTTATTTATTAAATCTCTGAAAATAATTGAGAAAAATCGCATTAAACTCTTTGGACAAACCGAGAGTCCAAAGGGGGCTCTCAAGAATTCAAATTGGCCATGATGCATTACGAAGGAAGTATAGGGTATAGATTCCTCGCTTACTTTTAAATGAAAAAATCCATTTTTCAAATCTAAAATACTGAAGAATTTAGAGTCTTTCAATTTATCAATTAAATCCTCTATAATAGGCAAGGGAAACTCATTCTTCACAATTTTCTATTTAGTGCCCGATAATCTACATAAACCCTAGTTGTCCCCTCTTTTTTGCACTAGAACCACTGGAATAGAATACTCAGAGAAACTCACCCGGATAATCTTCTTATCTAGCCATTCAGATACCTGTTTTTCCACTATTTCTTGCTCTTTTAGAAATAATCTTCGGGGTCGATGCGTCACTGGAATGTTGTCTTTCAGTACTATTTTTAACTGTATGAGAGCTTCTTTTTTCTGTACTGGTTATCCATATCGATAGATTAACTGATGCACTTGCTTCTTCAACTCAGGATCTGTCATGGGACCTATATAAGAAGCATGGTCACACTTATCAACAGTCATACATTTCATCCACTCGTCATCTTTTAAATAAAACCTCACTGCACCATCTTTCATTAACATAATAACATCTTTCGGAAAATCATGACCTATAATTACATTATACGGTACATATTCGCACCATTGAAATGTTGATCATCAGCGATAAATTGTAAATAACACTTTCCTAATGATTTAACCTTACACTGTCCAATCCCTGATAAAATAGTATTGTCATTTTCCGCTTTTGGCTGACCTAATGCCTTGTAACACTCTGATGAAATTATGTTAACGTTACTGCCTGAGTCGACTAATGCTTTAACACTAAGATTGCACACAGTTATCATTTTCACTGGCTTGAAGGTATCCGTTTTGTCGGTGCAGGTATTGTTTATAATGATGAGCGTTGAATCAACGAACGTTTAAATAGACGGTCTACGTTCAATCGACGCTTCGACGGTCTACAGTTTATTCGTTAACTAGTCGAATTTATTGACGGCTAAACTGAGAGTCCACAGCATTCTTATCTATTGACAACGCAACGACGACGCCGTAAACATACCCGGTTAATATAAGTGCATGCGTTCATTGAATTGGTATTATTGAACAAACCAATTTAAACCTTAAGTATATGACGTAGGAGTTAATATTTCTTTTTTCAATAGAATTGTTTGAGGGAAAAGGCAAGAGCATTCTGATATTGCGCGAAAGGGTATGTCGACAGTCTGGTGGACTATTGTTTACATAAAATTACCGTGCCTAAACGTTGCCATTGTTTATAAATTTATAAATTAGTGTGTCGACTCGCGTCGCAAGGTCAAAGTTAAAGAAATTCTTCCAAGAAACGACCAGATGGGATATTTGGCGTGCCACCTTGAATGGTGGAGAAAACATCAATACGTCTACCCAAATTTAAAAAAAGAATTTAATCCATTGTAACATTGTAGCAACATCTGTTCTTTGCGAACGGATGTTTTCTAAAGCAGGTCTCATAATTAATAAAAGGAGAACGAGACTAACGTTAAGCAAAGTTGAGCAAATTATGTTCCTAAACGTAAATACACATGAGGAGAGATTTAAAGGGTTTTAAATTCATTTATAAAATAATTTACATGATTTTTCTGTACATAAGTAAAAAAAACGAAAGCAATAAAAAGCAAATAAAAATATTCATTAAAACACCTATCCATAAAAATATGTAGATACAAAATGTAAATAATTAAATATATGTACATAAAATCAGTTGATCTTATCTTATCGTATCTCTGATATGCCTGAAATACCATAGTAGTAAAATCTTTTCAAAACGTATTCAGCCTGTCCTTAGCCTGGAAAAGTACGAAGGGAAGATTAAATCGATTGATTGTACAATTCGATAGTAGGTATTTATACACCAGTCAGAGTGCTTTGTGCTCAAATCAAATTTCTTAGAATTTTAACTTACTTTGCAGTTCATTCAACTGTCGAATAGTGGACAAAACTAGTTAAGACACAGTCGTCGTTGCGTTGCGCCCGTAGAGACCGCGCTTTAGTCGATTGAACGTCTGCCGTTATCGCGTTAACTAGTCGACGAATTCAACTAGTTGATCACCTAGTCGATGGACGGCAATAGTCTAGTTTCGTTGACGAAAATTACGTCGACGACCCACCTCTGATTGTTTACAATCTGCATAACCTCCGTTGCTGTTTTCAGAGTTTGACATTAACGCTGCTGTCAGATGCGGGCCGTCATGGCTGCCAACATAGCCATTACACGACGAATAATCATTCACTTCCTGTGAATGAGTTGTTGATTCTTCCGTTGACGTCACCGATCGTCCGAACATAATGCGCTTCAACTTCATGTTGTCATTTTGCTGCTGCCTTCGTTCTTTCTTGGGTACCGCCGCCGGATAACGAGTTTTGCCTAAAGTTGCCGAATGCAGTCGACTTCCGCTGCTTCGCCTATGCTCGGGCGTTGTTGTTTCGTATTGAACTTGAATGATTGAATGATGCATCGGGCATGACGTAGCAATATGGCCGCACTGGTTGCATTTATAACACTTTAATCCCTTTTCTTTATATGGCCAAAATGCAGACGTATGATTCATCTCGCCACAGCTAAAACAGCGATTCTTTTCAGATGGTTTTTGTCTGGGACTGCGCGCATCCGATCGATGACGTTGTTCCATTTTACTCCTTACGGTTTCGTAAATACGTAGCTTTTCTTTTAATTCTGTGTACATAATTACACCATATAGCATTATCTTATTTGTTTCCAGATCACGTATCCCATCGACAATATATTTGATTGCCACGTAATCCGGCATTTTCCCTCTCTTTCTTAACTCTTTCATAGTCAGCATATAATTCAAACAGCTTTCATTGTCTTTCTTCTGGCGTGTGCTCATCGTTTCTTGTATGGTTTTGATGTCGACAGAATCAGGAAATTCTTTCAATACTGCAGCTTTTAGGTCATCCCACGACTTAAACGGTCGTTCCGCACGGAGCCAAAGCGCTGCCGTGCCGGTCAACGAGCGCCTCGCCACTAATAATTGCTGTAGTGGAGTCCAGCCGAATATTTCAGCATTATCTTCGATTTCCTGCACCCATCGTGCCGCTGTAAATGTACCGTCTTGTCCTGATTAGCTTGGTATGAGCTCCGAAGTCATTTGTAGCATGTTGCCGCGAAAGTCAGCTCGTGCGCCAATGCCATCTTTGAAATCATCCTGGCGACTTTTCCTGCGCTCTTATCCATCTTTGCTCATCTTGCTGTAGGTAGTCGTCTTTGTTTCGTCTTCTTGTAATAACTACACCAAAATGCCGCCCCGTCTTTGCCACTGTCGCGTGCCACCACGTGCCGCCAGCCGCCGGATATTTCGCCTAAAACTCGTACACTGTCTTCTGAGAGATTTTACTGCACAGATCCCGGACGAGCCCCCAAAAATGTACTGTTGACCGTGCAGTAAAACCAGAAATATCTTGAAAATACTCTTTATTTAAATTTAATTAAAATTTGCATGCGCGTCTTTACAAGCGTCCTTTCCTCCATCTTGCTTTCTTATCATTCTCACTTACTCACTCACTATCATTCGTCATTCGCTCCGTTCCTTCCAGATCACTTCATTACGCTGCGTTCAATCTCGCACGAACACACACACACACACACACACACACACACACACATATATATATATATATATATATATATATATATATATATATATATATATATATATATGTGTATATATATAGATAGTGAGTGAGTAAGTGAGAATGATAAGAAAGCAAGATGGAGGAAAGGACGCTTGTAAAGACGCGCATGCAAATTTTAATTAAATTTAAATAAAGAGTATTTTCAAGATATTTCTGGTTTTACTGCACGGTCAACAGTACATTTTTGGGACTCGTCCGGGATCTGTGCAGTAAAATCCCTCAGAAGACAGTGTACGAGTTTTAGGCGAAATATCCGGCGGCTGGCGGCACGTGGTGGCACGCGACAGTGGCAAAGACGGGGCGGCATTTTGGTGTAGTTATTACAATAAGACGAAACAAAGACGACTACCTACAGCAAGATGAGCAAAGACGGATAAGAGCGCAGGAAAAGTCGCCAGGATGATTTCAAAGATGGCATCGGCGACCGAGCTGACTTTCGCGGCAACATGCTACAAATGACTTCGGAGCTCATACCAAGCTACTCAGGACAAGACGGTACATTTACAGCGGCACGATGGGTGCAGGAAATCGAAGATAATGCTGAAATATTCGGCTGGACTCCACTACAGCAATTATTAGTGGCGAGGCGCTCGTTGACCGGCACGGTAGCGCTTTGGCTCCTTGCGGAACGACCGTTTAAGTCGTGGGATGACCTAAAAGTTGCAGTATTGAAAGAATTTCCTGATTCTGTCGACATCAAAACCATACACGAAACGATGAGCACACGCCAGAAGAAAGACAATGAAAGCTGTTTGAATTATATGCTGACTATGAAAGAGTTAAGAAAGAGAGGGAAAATGCCGGATTACGTGGCAATCAAATATATTGTCGATGGGATACGTGATCTGGAAACAAATAAGATAATGCTATATGGTGTAATTATGTACACAGAATTAAAAGAAAAGCTACGTATTTACGAAACCGTAAGGAGTAAAATGGAACAACGTCATCGATCGGATGCGCGCAGTCCCAGATAAAAACCATCTGAAAAGAATCGCTGTTTTAGCTGTGGCGAGATGAATCATACGTCTGCATTTTGCCCATATAAAGAAAAGGGATTAAAGTGTTATAAATGCAACCAGTGCGGCCATATTGCTACGTCATGCCCGATGCATCATTCAATCATTCAAGTTCAATACGAAACAACAACGCCCGAGCATAGGCGAAGCAGCGGAAGTCGACTGCATTCGGCAACTTTAGGCAAAACTCGTTATCCGGCGGCGGTACCCAAGAAAGAACGAAGGCAGCAGCAAAATGACAACATGAAGTTGAAGCGCATTATGTTCGGACGATCGGTGACGTCAACGGAAGAATCAACAACTCATTCACAGGAAGTGAATGATTATTCGTCGTGTAATGGCTATGTTGGCAGCCATGACGGCCCGCATCTGACAGCAGCGTTAATGTCAAACTCTGAAAACAGCAACGGAGGTTATGCAGATTGTAAACAATCAGAGGTGGGTCGTCGACGTAATTTTCGTCAACGAAACTAGACTATTGCCGTCCATCGACTAGGTGATCAACTAGTTGAATTCGTCGACTAGTTAATGCGATAACGGCAGACGTTCAATCGACTAAAGCGCGGTCTCTACGGGCGCAACGCAACGACGACTGTGTCTTAACTAGTTTTGTCCACTATTCGACAGTTGAATGAACTGCAAAGTAAGTTAAAATTCAAAGAAATTTGATTTGAGCACAAAGCACTCTGACTGGTGTATAAATACCTACTACCGAATTTTACAATCAATCGATTTAAACTTCCCTTCGTACTTTTCCGGGCTTAGGACTAGTCAATACGTTTTTAAAAGATTTTACTACTATCGTATTTCAGGCATATCAGAGATACGATAAGATAAGATCAACTGATTTTATGTACATATATTTAATTATTTACATTTTGTATCTACATATTTTTATGGATAGGTGTTTTAATGAATATTTTTATTTGCTTTTTATTGCTTTCGTTTTTTTTACTTATGTACAGAAAAATCATGTAAATTATTTTATAAATGAATTTAAAACCCTTTAAATCTCTCCTCATGTGTATTTACGTTTAGGAACATAATTTGCTCAACTTTGCTTAACGTTAGTCTCGTTCTCCTTTTATTAATTATGAGACCTGCTTTAGAAAACATCCGTTCGCAAAGAACAGATGTTGCTACAATGTTACAATGGATTAAATTCTTTTTTTAAATTTGGGTAGACGTATTGATGTTTTCTCCACCATTCAAAGTGTGACACGCCAAATATCCCATCTGGTCGTTTCTTGGAAGAATTTCTTTAACTTTGACCTTGCGACGCGAGTCGACACACTAATTTATAAATTTATAAACAATGGCAACGTTTAGGCACGGTAATTTTATGTAAACAATAGTCCACCAGACTGTCGACATACCCTTTTCGCGCAATATCAGAATGCTCTTGCCTTTTTCCCTCAAACAATTCTATTGAAAAAGAAATATTAACTCCTACGTCATATACTTAAGGTTTAAATTGGTTTGTTCAATAATACCAATTCAATGAACGCATGCACTTATATTAACCGGGTATGTTTACGGCGTCGTCGTTGCGTTGTCAATAGATAAGAATGCTGTGGACTCTCAGTTTAGCCGTCAATAAATTCGACTAGTTAACGAATAAACTGTAGACCGTCGAAGCGTCGATTGAACGTAGACCGTCTATTTAAACGTTCGTTGATTCAACGCTCATCATTATAAACAATACCTGCACCGACAAAACGGATACCTTCAAGCCAGTGAAAATGATAACTGTGTGCAATCTTAGTGTTAAAGCATTAGTCGACTCAGGCAGTAACGTTAACATAATTTCATCAGAGTGTTACAAGGCATTAGGTCAGCCAAAAGCGGAAAATGACTATACTATTTTATCAGGGATTGGACAGTGTAAGGTTAAATCATTAGGAAAGTGTTATTTGTAATTTATTGCTGATGATCAACATTTCGATGGTGCGAATATGTACCGTATAATGTAATTATAGGTCATGATTTTCCGAAAGATGTTATTATGTTAATGAAAGATGGTGCAGTGAGGTTTTATTTAAAAGATGACGAGTGGATGAAATGTATGACTGTTGATAAGTGTGACCATGCTTCTTATATAGGTCCCATGACAGATCCTGAGTTGAAGAAGCAAGTGCATCAGTTAATCTATCGATATGGATAACCAGTACAGAAAAAGGAAGCTCTCATACAGTTAAAAATAGTACTGAAAGACAACATTCCAGTGACGCATCGACCCCGAAGATTATTTCTAAAAAGAGCAAGAAATAGTGGAAAAACAGGTATCCGAATGGCTAGATAAGAAATTATCCGGGTGAGTTTCTCTGAGTATTCTATTCCAGTGGTTCTAGTGCAAAAAAGAGGGGACAACTAGGGTTTATGTAGATTATCGGGCACTAAATAGAAAATTGTGAAGAATGAGTTTCCCTTGCCTATTATAGAGGATTTAATTGATAAATTGAAAGACTCTAAATTCTTCAGTATTTTAGATTTGAAAAATGGATTTTTTCATTTAAAAGTAAGCGAGGAATCTATACCCTATACTTCCTTCGTAATGCATCATGGCCAATTTGAATTCTTGAGAGCCCCCTTTGGACTCTCGGTTTGTCCAAAGAGTTTAATGCGATTTTCTCAATTATTTTCAGAGATTTAATAAATAAGATGATTATTCTGATCTTTATCGACGATATTTTGATTCCAGCTAGCGATGAAAGCCAGGCAGTACAACGCTTGCAAATGGTGCTTGAAGTAGCATCTGAATATGGACTGGAGATAAACTGGAAGAAAGCTAAACTAGTCCAGAAGGAAATAGAATATTTGTACATGTCTACAAGAATGGAGAGGTAAAACCTATCCCAGAAAAGACTGATGCAGTAGTAAGGTATCCCGAGCCCTGCAATGTCAAGCAAGTACTAAGGTTTGTTGGTTTAACCTCATATTTTCGAAAATATATAGAGAACTATGCATTGCACAGCCATTGGCAAATTTGCTCAAAAAGGATACTGATTTTAGTTTTGGTGAAGACCAAAGAAAAGCGTTTAATATCTTAAAGTATAAATTATCTAGTAATCCAGTATTAAAGATTTTAATAATAGTTTGCCTATAGAATTACACACTGATGCTTCATGTTTAGCGTATGCAGCAATATTATTACAATTTCATCATGACGGACGGCATCCAGTTTACTACATGAGTCGAAAGATCAATGATGTGGAAAGAAAGTATTCAAGTTACGAATCAGAGGCACTAGCTATTATTGAAGGTGTAAAGAAATTTAGACATTATTTGCATGAAATTAAGTTTAAAATCATTACAGATTGCAGAGCATTTGAACAAACATTGAGGAAAAACGATTTGTCAGCTAAAGTAGCGAGATGGGTACTATTTTTAGACCAATTTGATTTCACTGTGGAGCACCGAGCAGGTTCAAAGATAAAACATACAGACGCACTCAGCAATGATTGTCCTACAGTGATGTTGATCACCGATATGCATCAACAAATCAGACAAATGCAAGACCAAGATGAAGGCCTCAAAGCTATCAAAGAAATATTGAAGAATGGTTCTTACCAATATTATTGCATCGAAAATGATTTGCCGTATAAAGGAGAATTGAAATAATTGGTAATACCAAAAACTTTGCAAAAAGAAATAATAAAAAGAATTCATGGTATTGGTCATTTTTCATGCAAAAAAATGAAAGAAATCATATGTAACAGCTATTACATCAATCAGTTGGATAAGAAATTACAAGACTTCATGACAACATGTATACCATGCTTACTGAAAAGGATTTTTACACCCTATAGAAAAAGAAAGTATGCCATTACATACTTTGCATATCGATCATATTGGGCCTCTAATGGAAACTAAAAAACAGTATAATTACATTTTGACAATGGTTGATGCCTTCACCGAGTTTATATGGATATTTCCAACAAAGTCCACAACCAGTAAGGAAACATTGGACAAATTAAAAAAGTTTCGATAACATTTTGGCAACCCAGACAGAATAATAACTGACAAAGGTACTGCATTTACAGGAAATGATTTTCGAGAGTTTTGCGAGACAGAAGGTATACAACATATCACTATAACAACTGGAGTACCACGTGGAAATGGACAGGTGGAACGTGTGCATCGCACGATCATCTCAGTTTTGACAAAGTTATGTATTGAAGACCCTTCCTTATGATATAAGCATGTAAGTCAAATACAGAGAGCTTTGAACAGCACATACCATAGGAGCATAGACACAACTCCATTCACACTAATGATTGGTACAAAGTTGAGACAAAAGGAAGATTTCTGTTATACTGTTCAACCTCTTCACTCTGTAAAATAATACAAATTTTACAGAGTGAAGAGGTTGAACAGTATAACAGAAACAGAGAAGATTTAAGAGTGAAAGCCAAACAACACATATTGAAATTACAAGAAAAAATAGAAGAAACTTTAATAAACATAGAAAATAAGACAAAGGGATCTCGTAGCAATCAACCGCACTCAGTTTGGAGTAGGACTTAAGTTGCGACCTAAATACCTAGGTCCCTACCGTGTCATTAAGGTCAAAAGAAATGACCGCTTTGATGTGGAGAAAGTTCATGCACATGATGAGGGTCCAGGGAAAACGTCGACCTCAGTTGATCAGATGAAACGATGGCCTGATGACCTTTGACTGATGACCTTTGAAGATGAAACAGGTGAGTGATATAAAGGATGTGAGGGATGTAGAATGATAAGAAGATGAATGAAAGATTATTTAGTTTTTGATTTTTTATTTGTCTTTATTTACTTTTACAACATTTTTATTTTTGTGGAAAGGAACACATGCACCATTATAAACATGATCTGTTGACATGATTTTACGTAAAGGAATTAGTTTTAATAAGCCTATATTTAAGCTATAAGTATTGTTATTGTGATATGGTTAGTAAATAATATAAAGAAAAGAGAAGATTGTTGTAACTGTTTTTTTTTTGCATAACTGTAATGGGAAATGTGAAGGAAATGTCTTTCAATAGAGACTAACTCTTTTAAATCTTTTTAAATGACTGTGGTTTGAATTACTTTGTAAGTACCTATTACTGTAATAAAGGAAATTTTAAATAAAATACAAGACTATATTGTATAGGTTTGTTTATTATTGCTAAGATAACTGTTTATTTTGTTTTAAGTGTTAGTAGTAAGTTAATTTTTTTGTAATGTTGTAAATGTTAAGGAGTGAGAGCGGCATGGATGCCTGAGGACAGGCATGAGATTAGGACGATCGAATGTGGGATGAAATGCAGCGTAATGAAGTGATCTGGAAGAAACGGAGCGAATGACGAATGAGTAAAAGAATGATAGTGAGTGAGTAAGTGAGAATGATAAGAAAGCAAGATGGAGGAAAGGACGCTTGTAATGAAGCGCACGAAAATTAATTAAATTTAAATAATATATATATATATATATATATATATATATATATATAT